GTTAAATCATTTTCAAAATGTCATCTAAGTCGTGTGGCCCCGTAGTTTGACTAATCCGCACTATCACTCGATTTGTAGCTGATGAAATACCAGAACGAACGAGGAGGCCGCATTGTGTTGCAAGATATCAAGGTAAGGGTGAAAAAAATCGAATTTGACACAATCAGCAATTTTGGAACGTGCCAGAGCTTTTCAACAGCTGTTTCAACTGGGTGTAACATTACATGAGAGGAGGTCGCCTTTCTCTCGCTGTTACTGTGCAAATTCATATGTAAACAATTTTTGTAGATCGTTCGTTTTTTGGTTTTTCAGTGTCTATCAGTAACTGTTAGAAATGTTTGTTCTCTGGGGAGCTTGAAGGGTCAGCGAACACCTGCTGAATGCGAGATGAAACGTACACGCACTCGCCTCAGACTGAGTGGACTGTGACAGTACAAATAAGAGCTTTATCTAAGCCCCATCATTTTAATTTTTGCAATGAAATTGTGTGACTGTTTCATGTGTAAAAATTCTGGGTGATTCTCTTTTGCATCCTCTTTGTTATTAGTTGTAAGTTCGAGTTCCTTGCCGGGAGAAGAAAGTCAGGAAGAGCTTGGTAGTAAATCTTGGCAAGACAACCCAATAAGTAGCGTTTGGTGGCAGGGCACAGGGGGCAGGGGGCAGGGGGTAGTACAGTGCTGTACAGGACAGACACTATTGTCTGTCCCCGCAGAGAATTTTAACGACAGGATTATGACTGTAGTTAGTGTCTTCTGATTATCAGTGGTGAATGTGTTTCATGTTTCGTGTTACCTTTTGTAGAAGCCAGAAAAGGAGGATTGGGGATGTGGACTGGAAGCGTGCCAGGCTGCTTTGGATTTGGAGAAGCATGTGAACCAAGCCTTGCTTGATCTGCATAAGACTGCAGACTCTCATGGTGATCCCCAGGTGAGTTTTATGCTACACAAAGCTCTTCAAGTGAGGTTGTATGTCTCGTGGTAAAATGTTGTGAGGAATTAAATTGTTTGATGGCCATTGTGACAAATTGTATGCGGACACTACACATACATACATACATGTTCTTTGTTTGGAGTCTTATACAATAAATAGTATATCAACTATTTCCAAATAACTAAAATTACTAACAACAAAAATTTCTAACCATATATGGCTAATAAGGTTATTAATTAATTAAGTCCTAAAGTATTTACTTTTTGCCGTCTTCCCCTTTCCTTTTTTCAAAGCATTCGAGTACGTGTATTGCTATTAGTTTTTGTGTTTTAGCATTTCCGCTAGGGGGGTTTATTAGAAACATAAATATTTTGTTAGGTGACATTCTGCTTATTTTTATTCCATATTCTTTTTCCAAATAATCTAGTAACGATCATCTTTTTTCCTGTTAAGCAGGGCATATATTTAGAAAATGGTATTCGTCCTCCATTTCTATTTTACAGATTGGGCAAATTCTTTCTTCAGGTTTCTCAAACGGTTTCGAATAGCATCCTGTCTCTATGGCTAATTTTTGGTTGGTTAGTCGCACATCTACACCATGATTGGGGGGGAGGGGGGGAGGGGGGGGTGGAAAGGGTTTCAAATAGGCCATTTCCGAGTTCCCGCAGGGCTCTGTTTCAAAACGAAGGTAGNAGAAAAAAAAAAAAAAAGCCGGGTGCACCATGGGTAGCCATATCGGGGGTATCAGGAGCCCATGATTGGCTCCTGGGGGTATATAAGGCTGCGCATATATCACGTGTACGTCATCTAGGCTTACGAACCAACCTCTCTTTGGTTTTTCTTACATTTTTGTTTTATTTAATTTTTAGGAGCAAGCTATTCTCGATTACATTGTAAAGTCCCGTATGAAGGGCTTTGAGCTTGAGCCTTGGTTCCTACCCAGATTTCCTGTCCGCATTTTTTCTCTTCGGGATTTTTTTGGGCAGGATTTTCTGGCCTCCGTCTGACCGCATTTTTTTCAGTTTGTAAGCGGTAGCTCAGCTGTGCTAGTTTTCAACTTTGTCCTTGTATAGTTATCACAGTTTTACACCTGCTCCTTTACTTGATATATTTAGTTTCTATGTATGCTTAGGTCAGCTGTCCCGGAACCGCTCTTTAGGAGGCGACATAAGTCTTGTTTGACGCAGTTAGATTGCAGACAATGTTACAGACCTCTAGCCAGGGTTGTTATCCATTTGTTTACCCTCAATGTCCTGCCCTAGCCTTTTCTGGTAGCCTTACTGGTTATTGGGCTACGTGCCTTGTTGGGTGCATTAGTCAGGATAATTCCCAGTTTCCCTGGCACTCAGCCTCTGTGCTCCTGAAGTGTTCCCAGTCCCAGTTATCCGTTGACCAGAGTTTTATTTAGTACCCCCAGCCTAACTGACACTAAGCCTGCCTGCTTATTTCGGGGATTCAGGTCGAGATCGACCAGTTAGTGTAGCAGTTCCTTCTTTTTGCTTAGCCTCTGTGCTCCTACCGTGTTCCCTGTGCCAGTTATCCGTTGTCAGAGTTTTAATAAGTTTCCCCAGCCTAACAGGCGGCCTAACTGGCACTAAGCCTGCGTGCTTAATTGGGAGATTCAGGTCAAGAGCGACCATTTGTAGCACGAGTTTTTTCTTTTTGTGAAATGTAGTTTACGAGTGTTGTACATTACGTATTCAATAGTAATCACCTATTATTGTATTTACATAAGTACTTTGTAGGGTTGGTTCTCCCCAAGCGGTCCCAAAATATACTTATCTGCCTTTACGTTTTGTCTGTTGATGTTGTGTAGTGGAGTCAAAATACTCATTTTCACAAGAAAGGTTGTGCACCTAGCCTCATTTTGAAAGTGAGGGTTTTTGGAACTCGGAAGTGGCCTATTGCATTTTGCTGTAATAAAGTTTAATTTGCATTTTTGCCATTCTTATTTGTAAGGGCTGCATTCAGACTTTCAGCATCTCATTTGTCTCATTCTTATTTCTTACTTACAACAATGAAATTGACGTAACTTCTAGCCTGCGTACCAAGTGTTGCCGTGCGAGTTCGTCGAGAAAGTTGGGACGAGAGCAAAAAAAGGAATGACAGGGCAGGGGGGAGAGAAAAGAAGGAAACGCTTCTCCCCTCATCCTTTACATCTTTTCTTTTTTTTCTCCCGCTCTAACTTTCGCACAATAACTCGATTGGAAATGCTTGCTAAATTTAAGCAATCTATTTGTGAGTTTCCCACGGTTTATTGTTTGATTATCTCTTGGCGATATCGAGCTAAAAAATAAGCTCTCCTTTCTCTGCTTTCGCGTGACTTCGCAAAATATTCAGTTAACTCACCATTATCACACTGCCCATGATGCACCTTGTTTATCCCTCAAAATTTTGCATAAGCATTGTTTTACTTTCTCTTGGAACGACTGTAATCCTCAGGAGAAATTGGAAGCAACGGTTATGGTAAACAAGGTATATTATGGGCATTGACCACTCCAGAAAATACCATAACATACCACAAAGCTCTTTGTTTGTCACCCCAAAATTTTGCAATAAGCATTGTTTTCAGTTTCTCTTAGGGCCATTTTAACTCCCAAGAGAAACTGAAGACAATGCTTATGCAAAATTTTGGGGTGACAAACAAAGAGAATTATGGTATGTTATGGTATTTCCTGGAAGTGATCAATTGTGAAAAGGCCCTGTCCACACCAACGCATTTTCAAAAGTATGCATTTTCCTTGTCATCAAAAACTCATCAATCAATTTGCGTTCACACTACGGGTATTAAATAGCTCAATCCTACTTCACCAGTCAATAAGGTGGCATAACTGTTTTTTCTTCACAGTTGCAAGACTTTTTGGAATCAGAATTCCTTGAAGAGCAGGTTGAAAGTATCAAAGAGCTATCAAACTTCGTCAACACCCTCACACGGCTTAGCAAGGATAACTACGCTCTTGGTGAATACCAGTTTGATAAAGTAACTCTTAAAGGCGACAGCAAGGAATAGACTTAACGCCTACTTGAATTAGAATTTTGTACTGGAATAGGTCTTGAATGTTTCTGGGACATTGAGAATTTCTAGGTTAGAATAATGCCAGAATTTTAAGAATTTTTCTGACAAAGCGGTAAAATCTCGAACGTTCTGGAATTAGTAAAATCCGCGATCGTCTAGCATGTTTCTGAGATATTAAAACTAGGGTTAAGTTTTCGTCTTTTTTACAATTTTTATCTTTTTGTTGTTGTTTAACTACTTATGAAATACTTTATACTCTAGTTTTGAATTAAGCCCATGATACTTCATTCTTTTTGTGACAAATTTATTTTAAAACGAAAAGTAGTATTATTGTTATTGTTATCTTCCACAAGACAATATGGCCATTTATACGAGGAAAAATAAGACGCGTCTTACGTAAGACGCGAACTGGACCATTTATACGAGCATGTCTTAACTAATTCTTCTGTATGCTTAAACTTACTTTTAAAGTGTAAGTTTATAATACGAAGATAGCAATTTGATTAGTAAATATAAATTGTGACAGTTTAAAGTTAAAAGGGTCTACTTACACCAGCAGATGTCACGCATTTGTCCAGGAGGTCTGTTATCGCCTTCTCCTTACATAATAACCAGAAATCTTTCTCCTCCGCGATGGACCAAGTGTTTCTTTTTACCTTTAACGGCGAGCTCATTGCATTTGAGCGAAGAAAAAAATAAAGTAGAATAGACAAGAAAACGAAAACGCGTTGTAATTTGTAAACAATTTTTCCCCGCCAGTGGCCTGCCAGTCCAGCGCGGGGCAAGCGATAATTTTCCCGCCAAAAATTAACACATGCGTACTATGCGTTCGTGTCTTATGTAAGACGCGAAGGTCAGTTATACGAAGTTTTCCTCGTCTTAGCTAAGACGCGTCTTATTTTTCCTCTTATAAATGGCCCTATTATTTATTGATTAGCAAGGGTGAAGTGATTAGTTTGTGAATGTTTTTAATATCCGTCATAGTCAAATCAGATCAAATGTAACTTTCCTGTTCACCTTTTGATCAATAAATGTCTCCGAAGCAATCTGAGGCATAACAGAGATAATTGACTTTTTTATTTGTTCCTTGACTTGTGTGGATTGCAGGTTGCATGAAAGCCAAGAACCAACTCTTTTCCAGGCCATCAATTTAAATATAAAGCCCTGTGCAAACGAAGGCAACATTGTTGAATGTTACATGTTGCGTCCGTTTGCACACCCTGTTGCATGCTGTTGTGAGTTGGTGGGAGTTATCGCATCCATTTCAACACCACTGCCAAAACGGACGCAACAACGCCAATTTAAGGACCGACAGTTAAATTCCTTGACTTTCCAGGCCTGGAAAATGAAATTCTTAAATTCCATGACTTTCCAGGTTTTCCATGACCTATACGAACCCTGTTATTATAGGCCCAACATTGCTGCAAGTAGCTTAAGGTCCACACATGGCGCGCGCAGTCGCCGATTGTACCTTCCCTCTCCCCCTTATAACTCTCGTGTTTTCACGCTCCAACTGTGCTCTCGAAACGGTTACTCTGTAGTGTGAAATTTTTGCGGGATAAAATTCGCCCCCAGTACTTGAGTCTTAAATCCAAACTCGCGTCGATTTGTTTTTCGTTAATAGACGTCCGGAAAAGTTTCATGATACACCTACCAAGATATTTTTAACTCAATTAAGGGACTGTTTACATTGAGGTGGGGGACCTTAGGTTTTTAGGTAGTTGAGGTAACCTGCTCTGTTGGGGTAACAATATCTCGTTTTAATTTTTTTAAGTTTACATGATACGTGGGGTAGCTATATGAGAGCCGTATATGGACAGGCAGGTGACCCCGCCTAAGCGGGTTACCTCACCTACCTGGGGTGCCCCACCTCCGTGCAAAGAGGCCCGAAGAGGGGATAGTTTATCGACCGAAGGGGACAATACAAACAGTATGGGTCCTGTTGCCCGCTGAAACTTTACCTTGGACGTAACACTGGTAACAGGTCAGCCTTGTTGTCTAGTTCACTCATCTCCACGTGTCAGGCCGCATAAAGGTCGTAAACTTTGCGGCCTTCTAAACCAGATGCAAAATATTAGCTTGCGCAGTTCGGGCACACGCAGAATGCAAAATTTCGAGTTTTTGGGCTTAAAAGTGACACAGCAGTCTTGACTTTTACTTTTCGCTCTCTTTCCCCCCTTTTTTTTTTCGCCTGTCTTGCCTCATTTTTTTTCTCTCGCTACGCATTTAGTAGACTTCATTTGGTGGGAAGAGTTTGGATGGAAAACTTTTATTATCTTAGGACAAGAGCCATAATAGGACAGAGAGGGACACTCAGGGCGTTGGCCGGGATATCTTAATCCCAAAAAAGTTATTTTTAGAACTATGCGGACCACGCGGAAACAGTTTCCGGTAAACTGATTGACTTCCGGAAGACTCGCTTTCACGATTCAGCGCGCGAAAGCGAGGCGGCGTCAACAAATAAAAAGAATGGCGGCACAAGTGGAGGGACGATGTGGAGTTGATAACTTGTCCTTCTTCAACGAAGAACCTACCATAGAAACTGGTTAAAACTTTAACAAAAAAGGGTCCTTTACAAGCAACGTTAGAAATCGGTTAAAGCGACCCCGTGACCATCGTTTTTGTTTGAACAGCTGGAAAGAGGACGAGTAGCATTGCGGCCCGGATAAGCGTTACCGTTTAAGTGACCATGTGGACGTATTTTCTGTTGAAAGAGGAAGAAAAAGAACGTTTAAAGGTTTCCAGTATTTTTGTCAAGGACATGACCGGGAAGGCGGGAATCTTGTGGAACACACCTTTTCCTGCTTGACTGATATTTTGTTCCGCACTTCACATTGGACGATTAGCAATTATTCTTTATTGAACACGAGGTTAATAGCGGAATATTCGCGGCGAGGTTAATATTCGGTAAACAATAGGTTTGATCTTTACAGAATTTTCAAACATTGCAAATCAAATAGGAAACAATAGCCTAATGGGTTACATGGAATCGCCAGAAGTTTAAATTCAGCTGTAAATTGTACTTCCAAACCTATTAAAGAAGAAAAGTAGCGCTTTGTTTTCATCCGTCGACTCGCCAAGTTAGGGAAAAAGGTATTTTGTGCAGCTAATTTGTGTTGTTCTTCGTTAGTGCAGACAATGGTGGCCCGGTTGCTCGAGGTAAGGAGCCGTTTCTCTGTAGTTTTCTCTGTCCTGATTAATTTATAACTGAAATCTCGAGATTTCGTTGAGATTTGCTTTCATTTTTTTCCTCATAAGTCAGTTGAATTTGATGTCGGGGGAAAATTTGTCTTAAAATGTTGAGTTTACACACCTCTTCTACTCGATTAAACTGTAATTGTCAACATTCCATCGAGCAAAAAATACTGCTAAAGTTAATCTGAAAACGGTCTTTTGCAACTTTGAAGTCCTTTCATACCTTCAAAAAATGGACCCTAGAATTTAATTTTGCCGAATTCCAAAGGTTCTTACTCTAAAAAAATTGGCAAAACAACGAGCTCACGAATTATTTACTCGCGAGGCTAAAACACTACAAAGATCACTGAGTGTGTATCCTGAAACCGATTTTTGCTTGTAAAAGCTTTATTTGTGAAAGGTTATTTGTGTTTTTTCATGTTGCAAACGGTGTTGAAATAAATACGACAGTATGATAATCTCATCTGGAGTTTATTTACTTTATGTGGTTTTACCAAGCCTCATAGTTTTCTCATAGACCTGTAATAATTAACCTTTACAGATCCTGCACCACAGTGTATAGGTAAGATTTCCATACAACCCCAAACATTTGTTATGTGTGTTAAATAATATAAGCTTGCTGCATGGATAACAAATGTAGAGGTTTGGATGCATAGGACCTTTTGATGTTGTGTTTGCCACTTATAGATCCAGCAAGTTTTGTCTACTTTTGTAGGCACTCATGGTTTTAGGTGTCGGCTGGGGAATGTAGTCTTTTCTTTTTTTCTCTATAGAAAGCACTCAGAAGTGTTAAGAATACAAACCACTGCAATACGTTCAAGCTCTGTATAGCTTTTTGTTTATAATTATGTCTTATTTCTTGAACCTCCCCTCCTCAGTGAAAGGCTAATTAACTCATTTTCTACATTGTGTGGTGAAACCTGTATTATGCAGACCCCATATTAAGCAGACACCCTGTATTCAGCAGTCGAATAGCTCAAAATGTGGCAAAACGTTTCTTTCCATAATTTAAGAAAATCAAACCTGTATTTAGTGGATATCTCTGATAAGCAGAGAGCAGCAAATTTTGTGTGGATGTCTGCCTTATTCTAATTATACAAGTTTTTCTTTTTTATTTATAACAACCTCATATGCATAAAAATTGATGGTAAAAAGAAGGATGAGTGAGGGTGCAAAGAGAGAAGAACTGAGTCCTTATGCCAGGCTGGCTCCCCCCTGAAGGTATAATATAAAATACTACATGTAAAGGTTTCATAAAACTGGTACATCATTTTTATGTTGTATGTCTTTTAGATTGTGAGCAGTCTCTCTTCAGCTCAAAAATCTGTAAGCGAGAGTATTTGAGCAGCGAAGTCCCATGAGTTGTGAGGGTGCAAATTCGAATACGCTTCTCAAATACTCTCCCTTACAGATTCTGGAGCAAAAGAGAGACTGCTTGCAGTCTATATGTCTTTCAGTGTCTGCAAACTTTTCTGTTGTTTTCTGACAGGTTGAATTAAAGGAACAATACTACTAGCAATCATGAATTATCTTTTAAGATGTCTGGATGACCTTGCCACGGAATTAATAGTGAGGAAAGTAATGTACAGGCTTAACAAACAGTGCAAGTTCTATATTTTGGGGCAAGGGAGCACTTATTTATTTATTCATTAATTTTTTTTTAAACTTTTGTTAAACTATGTGGCTGCCAAAGCATTTGGGATTTGAAATTTGAGGAGTACTGGGAAGAGAGTGACCAACTGAGTGACACACATGTTATTGTACACAATACATTAATATTAATTTGTCTCCTTCTAGATGCTTTCCTTGACATTGCCTCTTTCAAGCCATGGCATGAATAGATACATTGATTCAGTCACACACACTGTTTTATTGTTCCAGAATGTCTCTCTCAATGCAACCCATGCAGATGCATGAATTGATTAACTCACCAATAAAAGAAACTTGACCTAATTCAGAGGTCAAGGTGTGACCAAAGGAAGTTCTTATTGATTTTTATTTTATTTTGATACTGCCATTTTTAACTTAAAGCCTTCCTCAATAAGGTCATATGCTCAATACTGATCAGCTTAACTGATAATAACAGCCTAAATCTCCTGTGATGTCTTAGTGGTTGCACGAGGCCTACCCTGATCAATCATAATGTGCAGGCCAACATGTTTATTAGATTATTTAAAGGGAAAGATTGGGGTGTCACGGTGCAGGATGCCTTAAAAGCAAAAGATTGCACAAACTTGCTCTGCCTGTAGACTCGGCTTTAAGAGCATTAGAATGCAACATTAATATTAATAAAGTCAACGTTTAAACATGTTGAAATGCAAAAAGGTGCTCACTTTACTTCTGATTTATACTTTTGAGAGCTTTCTACAACGAGAAAAGAAAACCACTACATTCAGCAGCCAACACCTAAGTGCTTACTAAAATAGAGAAAACTTGCTGGATCAATAAGTGGCAAACACAACATCAAAAGGTCCTATGCATTCATGAATGCCTGAAGCTTGAATTATGCTGTGGTACGATTTGCAGTCAAACCCCTACATTTATTATACATGCAGCAAGCTTATAAACAATTATTGGATGAGGTTTTTGTGATATCCGGAATAATCAGGGTCGAGGTAAGTGTTATCGGCTGAGGCTGATATCACTAACCGAGACCTTGATTATTCCGGATATCACAAAAACCGAATCTAATAATTGTTTTATTATACTTTATCTTCAAGTAATTTCTCAATTTCTTGCTGGGTCGATGAAGTGAATCGAGAAGCCATTCTTACTTCGCTGTCCGCGAACTTGACATTGCTGTCTGTGCACTTGACATTGCTCTTGGAAATCATGCATTGCGCTTGCAACCTACAGATT